TATGTATATATTTCTTTATGTATGTACTTTATGTATGTAAATAAAGCTAGAAAAAAATATAATGTATACAACTATATATAGAGAGCTATGCTAAAAAAGTTATTTTAAAGCATATTTACATGCAAAATAGAGAGACATGCACAATACCACACAATGTTAAAGCCAAAAAGTGCTGTAACACAAGACACATAAGCACTTCACCTTTGCTTGAAGTATCCTTAAACGGCACAAAAAACTCTTTAATTTATCCTCAACTGTGCCATAACCACAACCAAACTAGCTCATAAATCCTCAGGGAGCAAACAAATCTGTCCAAACAGTCAGTGAGTGATGCTAAATGATCCAGAGCTAGAGAAAATCCAGCTTTTGATTACAGGCGTCTGCTTTCATACCAGCTCTTCAGATCTCCTAACAGCAGCGCTTTACTCCATCCACTCTCATTTCAGTTATTCATTAGAAACATGCTGAAGATGGTAAATCTAAAACAGACATCACACGCCATTTCCTGCTCACACATGGCTTACAGGTCCGGCTGAAAACACTTGGTTCTGTAAACATCCACTTTATGACAAATAGCAAAGCATGTCCAACATCGCATGAATACAAGAAACAACATTAAAAGCATCACTTTAGGTCGATTTGACCATTTCAGAGTCTGATTGTCCTTCAGAACGAGGGCTGAGATTTGCACAATCCTGTTCTCTTTTACAGCAACAATCTTGTTCAGAAAAGAAACACTGCGTGTCATGAAGTGTTTAAGTCTGTGAGGAGCTGAAGTGACTGCAGGAGGTTAAAGCAAAGCTCTGACCCGGAGCATTCAGGTCTTTGTAAATGTCACGGCCTCAGCATGGACCACCCGACTGATGGAAAGCACTATAAAGGTGAAACATGTGCCCACAAAAACATATCCAGATCACATTTCAACCCCCTAACCAAAAAACGAAATAAAGATTGCATTGTGATTTTATTTTTAAGCATGCTTTCCCTGCAATTTTACTTTACCTTAATGCATCCAGATGTTTCACTGCCGAGTTATTTTTTACAACTGCCAATATTCTCAGTGGTGATTCTCATTACTGACAATTAATACATACAATTATATATTTATATAAAACATTATAAATATTATATACAGAGAAAGAGCAAGAGAGAAAGAGAGATTTTTATATAATGATACAATTATATTATATATATATATATATCACACACACACACGTGTGTGTATGTACAATTATATGTTATATATTTTATAATTGTAATTTGTATCTATATGAATTTCAATTAAACAATTAACATTTTTATTTAAATCAGGGTATACAACAAATAAAATGTTAAAAGTTATTTAAATGTAACTTTATAGTAATGACAATAAGATTTTTTTTTTTTTTTTGGGGTGTGTGTGGAATTTTCAGGAAAAATAATGCAGAAAACAATTTTCTTTACAGGTTTTGTGAGACCACTATTAAAACTACTTTTTAATGACATCTTCTGCTCAACATACCTGGTACAGCTCCGAGCTGAGAGCGGGCAGCCAGAGCGGCCGACATTCCCAGAGTTCCCAGACCTCCGAACTCAGAGCGGACAGGAGAAGAGGAGTGCAGACTGAAGACTGGGTGATGGATCATGGGAAAGGCACCGGAAAATGAAGCAATTCCCAAACCCTGATTTCCAACCATTTGGAACAAATGACCTGAGAGAGAAAAATCAAAAAACATCACCAACTCATGCATGTGTCTGATGCATAAAGCCTGTCAGAGAAATCAGACTATTTGGACTTAGAAAGGAATAGGTGTAGATTTCATTTATTACAATGCATTTAAGAAAAGGTTGTTTACAGATATAGCAAAGGGAAAGAAAACCTTATTGTGATTTTTCTGGATAAAATATGATTAAAAAAAACTGTAAAATGCGATAAAAAATTCCAGGTTTGCTGTGATTGCTTGTAGTCCTGCATAATTTGGCCAAAATGTAGTGATTATATATCAATATGGCTAAATATTAATAATAATAATAGTAATAAAACTCATTATTATAAAATAATACTAACACTAATAATAATTATTAGTATTAGCATTAAAATACTTAATAATAATAATATCATCATTATTTTAAAATCATTATAATATAATAATAATGATTACTATTATTATTAATATTATAACTTAAATATGAAAATATTAGTATTGTTATTATAATATTTAATAACTAATATTTAATACATAATGTATACTATTTAATATTAGACAACATTGACTATTTAATAATAATAATAATAATTAAATACAATATAAATAATAAATATTCCTCAGTTTAGGAATATTGTGCTGGTCACATGTAAATGGACACAGGACTGTGCTTTACTTTGAAACACTCAGCGCATATTTTTATTTAAGTAATTTTCAGCATTTGTGATTTGATAATTGCACCAACCCATATCAGTTTTGGCTTTACTTTAATTAATCGTAAAGCCCTACTATGCATGATTTGCATGAAATGCACAGCTACATTTTTAAACTATAACCCATGACATTGTCGATCAACGTCACTGTATTTCAGTAATGTACATCGCTTCAATAAACCACATGCATAAATTAAAATCCATACATTTACCAAAACATTTCACTACATTCATACATTCACTAAACCAATGAATCCCCCTTTTTCTTGGTTGCTCAAGTGGGCTGAAGGCTTTTCTTTTCCCTGAAGTCATTTACTGCTTAAACTCCTGAGGGATTCGCACAAAAGCTGGACACAGGAGAGACAAGAGAGACAAAAAGAGCCTCGCTCCCCGAGCTGCTGTGAAGGCTGTTTACAGGCATCTTCGCTTTGAATCTCATTCTAATGAGCTGCATATTTAGCGTCAGCTCCTTTGAAGCCCGTCCTGTCGATACAGGACGAGACTGTGAAAATAAATCCATCCCCTCCCGCTGGCCCTCCTCATCTGCACATAGCCTTTAAATATTAATGCACTTCGAGCTGCGGAATAATCAAAATCCCAAAAAAAGTAAAACCAAGAAAAGGAAAAAGTATGTGAAATTTATTTGCTTTACCATTCACTATTTTTGCTCTTTCAATAATTCAGCCAGAAATGAACATTTTGCAATAATTTATTTCACCAAATGTCGTTCCAAGCCTGTATTATTTTCTTGTTAAAAAATAGGTGCAAGTTCATTAATATATGAAATGCACAAGTGTAACTTATTATTTTGTCAAGCTCCTGAGGTTTTTCTCAATGATTTATGAAACATTTTATCTGAAGTACTGATTTTACCCATCAGGTTAAAATGAAAAACACTAAAAATGAGGTGGGGTGTTTTTAATAACCTCAGGAGTTTTGTACTTGAACAAAAAGCACATGAGAAGTGACCGTTAGAAAATGAATATTTTATATATTAATGCATTATATATTACTTTGTTGCAAATTTAAATACAAAATTATAAATGAACCAAATCACATTTTAATATATTATTTTAATAATAAATTACACACACATTTGCAAATGTTGTGACGACATCATCACTATTGGTTACATTCATCAGTGGAAGAGATTTTTAAACTTTCTCGGAAATCTTGAATTTCTTACATTTTAACTGTAAAAATATACATTTTAAAATATAATCTTTGCAAGACTGACAATCTGAACGGTTTACGATAAACGGCTCACGCTGAATTTATTTATCTCTGTAATATGTGTATTTATTTAAAAATATTATTAAAAATAATATTTATTAATATTAAACAACAATATTATTATTTTTTATTATTAAAAAAACGAACACTTGGTTCTCTAATGTTTTTGCATTCTATTTGTTTTCTTTTTATTTATTATACAATTCTGTTAAATTAAATTCAATTAAATAATTCTGACTTACACTAGCTTCTCTAATATTTTTGTATTCTATGTTTTCTTTTTATTATGTAATAAAAAATAAAAAATAAACTTGCTACGTGTACTGCGTTAAGCTAACTGAGACTTGTTATAGCACTTTCATATCATTGCTCTTTTATTGATTTTGAAAGCGTCTGCTAAATGTCTAAATGTAAATGTAAATATTTAAATAAGTCATGTATAAATATTTCAACATTTTAAATGTTATTTAAATGTAACTTTATAGTAATGAAAATAAGATTTTTATTTCATTACAGTAACAAAAATTTGGGGATAAAATGTGATTATTTTCAGTAAAAATAATGCAAAAAAAAAATTATTGAAACATTTTCTTGCAATTCTTCAAAATTTCAAGCAATTTTCATATTAAATATGACCAGAGAAAAATATAAACTTTAAAAATATAAAGTAAAAAATTTAAGTCTGAATTTTTATGATAAGCAGCTCAGGCTGAATGTATTTACCTCTGTAGTATGAGTGACATTTACCAACGTGAACATAATAATCCACACACATACACACCTGACTTTTGCTTTGAATTCATTACTCTGGTCAAAACAGGTTATCTGAGGTAAAATATCTTTGTGTATGATTGTTTCTGTGTGTGTAAAAAGATCAATTCAAATACATTATTCATCAGTGAGAGAGAAAAGCTCTAGTCATTGCATGGAAAAAACCGATGGATTCTCTCTGGGCATTTCTTATCATGAGAGAGAACAAAGCAGCAAGGAGACGGCAAAAACAAGCACAAATCGCAATTTATAAATTTGCATATTATTTTGTGGTCAGGCTACTCTGACAGCATCTGCATCAACAGCAGACTATCACTCGGCGGAATCCTGTACAATGAGTTTAGAAAAAGGACAAACTGTCTCAGATTGGATCATTTCACACAGGCTAAACGAGAGCAAGAACTCTCATGTTGGTGTTTATTAATAAAGTGGCTCTTCATACAAAATTTATAAGAAATCCATTTTTAATTTCCCCAAATTCCATTATATTTTTTCCCAACTTAATTTTTTCCATTTAAATTTTCTGAATTCGGTTTTAATGGTTAAATAAAATTTTAATGTTAATCAAAAAGCATATCTAATTAACTGAAAACATGTATACAAATTAACAACAATTTGTTAAAAGATTGACTAAAATTACATTTTATGGCCTTATGAAACCGGTTTTATTTTTTCCCAAATTCTGTTTTATTCCATTTTAATTTTCACATTAATTAATAATAAATAAAAAAATAAATAATAATAATAATATATAATAATAATAATAATAATAATAATATTATAT